GAGACTTCAAAAGTCTCACCAAAACCAATTACCAGAATTGACTCATGAAGAAATAGAAAACCCCAATAGCCATATCACAAAATAAGAGTTGAATTACCAACCCGAAACCTCCCAGCCAAGAAAAGTCAGTGGATGAATTCTATGGAACATGTCAAGAAGAATTAACCTCATTCCTTTTTAATTTCTCCCACGAAACACAAAAGGAGGAAATATTACCTAAATCATTCTGTGATACCAAATCCAGACAAGGACGTCACAGATGAGCACCCCTTGGGAACACAGATGCAAAAAATTCCTCGACAAAATACCAGAAAACAGAGTCCTACGGCCCCTTGAAGAGTTTATACAGCAGGACCAAACCTCAGGAATGCAAGGATAGTTCAATATAAGGTGAAGCCACACGGTATACCATATTCACAGAATAAAGGGACAAACACCACGCGATCATCTATATTGATGCAGAAAAGCATCTGACAAAATTCAATACCCTTGCAGGACTGAAACCCCCAGCAAAATAGGGATCCAAGGGAATTCCTTCAACTCGACAAGGGCCGGATATGAAACCTCACAGTCAGCGGGTGAAAAATGGAAGATGTTCCCCTAAGATTGGGAACAAGAATGGTGCCCTCTTGGCCAACGCTCCTCAGCAGGGTACCCGGAGTTCAAACCCGAACAGATCAGCAAGAGGCAGCGATAAAAAGTTTCCAAATAGAAAGAAAGAAGAAACACGACCTCGATCGGCAGATGTCGTGATCCTAAATAGAGAAGATCCTCAAGAATCGGCCAAGAAATGACTAGAACCGAAACACGACTTGGGCCAAGTGGAAGGGTAGAAAGTGACCTGCAGAAACGCACGGGGTCTCAAGGTACCAGCGAGGAGCAGCCCCAGGAGGTGACAAGGAAGAACTGTCCATCACAACAGCATCAAGAGCAATAAAACCCCCGGGGACAGATAAAACGAAGGAGTTGCAAGAAACGTTACTAAAAAAAAAATCAAAGAAGACCTGAGTAAATTTTTGGTGACGTGGAAGGCGTAACGTCATCGAGACAGCAATCTTCAGGTTTACAGCCCTCTATGAATTTGACGCAATCCCTCTGAAAATCCCAATGTTCTTTCTTTTAATTAATTGAAATTATTTATTTATTTTGGGTGCTGGGCTGAGCTACATCCCCATCCCTGGCTTTTTACTTTTTTTTTTTTTTTCTTTTTTGAGACAAGGTCTCCCTTGGTTTCCCACGCTGCCTTCAAACTTGTGATCCTCCTGCCTCAGCCTCCCGAGTGCCTGGGGTTATGGGCATGCTGCACCCCGACTGGTGTCTGTTTCTTTTGAATGAAGAAGTTGATCCTAAAGCCCATGTGGAATTGCAAGAGAAGAGCCCAAACAGCTGTTAGAACCACAAGATCAAGACTCACCACAGAGCCGCTGTGTTCAGGGACCCTGGGCTGTTGGCCCAGAGACACACATTTGACCAAGGACGACGTCGTCCGTCTGTTGACATCGAGGTCAGGAGTCTAGAAATGAACGGCATGAGTCAGGTGATTTCCAATAAGGATGCCAGGACAGTTCAATGGGGGAAAGAATGGTCTCTCAGTTAATTGATTAAATGTTTATATTTGGTGATTTATATTTAATCGAGAAATATTACTTGTTTATTTATTTATTTAATGGTGCTGGGGCAACTGGATAGATCTCTATGTGAAACGACAAAGTTTGACCCTCATCTCACACCGTACACCAAAATGAATATAAAATGGGCCAGAGACCTAAACAGAAGAAGTCACAGAACAGTAAAAATCTCAGGGGAAAAAAAAAAAAAAAAAACACTGGAAAAAATCTTTATGATCTTCGATTTGGTAACGGATCCTTCTTAGATGTGACTCAAAAGCAAAAAGAAAGAAAGAGAGAAACTGTACTTTATAACAATTAAAAGCTCTTGCTGGGTGCAGTGGGACATGCCTATAATCCCAGGAGCTTGGGAGGCTGAGGAAGGAGGATCACAAGTCCAAGGCCAGCCTCCAAAATTTAGCCAGGCCCTAAGCAACTTAGCAAGACCCTGGCTCAAACATTAAAAAATAGTGGCGGGGCCTGGGGATGAAAACATTAAAAATTCTTTTACTGCCGGGTGCAATGTTGCACGCCTGTAATCCCAGCAATTTGGGAGTCTGAGGCAGGAGAACGGCAGGTTCGAAGCCAGCCTCAGCCACTTAGTGAGGCCCTAAGCGATTTATTAAGACTCTATCTCAAAATAAAATACAGAAAATGGGCTGGGGATGTGTCTCCGTGGTTAAACAGCTCAGGATTCAACGCCCCCAAAACTCTTGTACATGAAAGTAACAAGACGAGGCAGAAAAATTGAGAAAGACTATTTGCAGACCATCTATCTGATAAAGGTCAAGTATCCAGAATATGTAAAGAGCTCTTACAACCCAACAATGATAAGCAATGCAATTTAAAAAATTGGCAGAGGTCGACCGAGCACATGGGAGTCGGGAACTGGCTGCAAAGAGGCCCAAGGGATTGTTGGGGTTTTTTTGTTCTCTTTGTTTTGGTTTTTTTTGTGTGTGTGTGTGATGATGGAAATTTCCCAACATTAGATCATGGTGAGTTGCACAATTTTCTAGAACTAATTGAACTGAATTCCGTGGCTGCATTTGATGTTTTATAAATAATACCTCAAAAGGAGCTGTGGAAATAAAAATAAAAAAGAGGAAATGGCTGAGGGAGGGGCTGTCGCAATTATTTTCCCCCCAGGAGACCACTTGACTGAAAGGCAGAGAGACCACTTCCTCTCGGTGACCAGCTCTGAGTCCCCAGAGGTCCCACCACACCTCCCTTCCGCGGGCAGACCCAGAGGACACCTCGCGTCCATTTCTGGGGGTGGGGATGTGGCCCTGGCAGCTGTTAGATTTCCAGTCCCCAAACCCTCTTCTTTTTAGGTACTAAGGGACTCAGTGGGCCCTGCTGTGTCCCACACACAGCCTGAGGGCTCTTGAAAATGCAAATTAGACTAAGCCACCCCTTGAAAGCCAGAGATGACTCCCCATTTCCACTGGAACAAAAATCTGCTTTCCTCCCAGGTGGCATGCAATGGGTGTGACCTTCCCCCCCTCCCCCAGTCGGTCTCTGCTGCCCCTGTGTCCCTGTGCGCTGGGAGCAAGCCACATGGGTTCTGCCTCAGTACCTTTGCACTGCCTAAAACCTTGCCCACGTCACTGTCCACCACCCACTTTTTTTTTTTTTTCTCATCTTGAAGTGAAGTGAGTTATCTCGAGTGTGGGCTCTGGAGTCCAAATGACTGAATTCAAATTCTAACTCACCCACTGTGTGACCTTAGACAAATCATTAACCTCTCTGAACCTCTGTTTCCTCATCCGTCCCACAAGGGGAAACGATGGACGAGGAGGGTAGCTGCCCTCTCCAGTGATTTTTAAAGTCTTTAAACATCCTTAAAGTCCTTCACCCCCTGGTAGAGAGCGAGCCCCTCACAAATGAGTCATCTCTTACTCCTCCTTATGATCTTCCAATGGCTACCAATGGCAGGGCGTCGTATCGGGAGATTCACTTTGAAGATCAAGAGAACAAGAAAGAGCAAGCTGGTTTCCTTCCCGAGATTGGCTCTCCGGAGCTCGGGACTGTTTTTGGGGCTGTGTGCGGGACCCACAGCCTGCAGAGTGACCACAGGGGAATTTGTCCCAAGTTCCTCAAAACATGGCTGGAAAAAGACAAAGGCACATATGTCCAGAAATAGAGTGCAAGAGGCTTCTCTGTCCCCTGGACTGGCCGGGCGGAGCATCTGTAAGTTGCTCCCAAAGCTGAGTCCACGGCGGGAGGGGGGCTGGACATGCACCTGCGGGGACCCAGCGCGTCCCCCCCTCTGGACACATTTCCTTTCCACACTCGGGGGCAAGCTTAGGGACAGGAGCACCAGGTTCAAATCCCAGCTCTCTCCATCCACAAAGTGGGACCCGTGCCCCCTGCCCCCAGGGCTGGCAGGATGAGCCCAGGTGACGGTGCCCCGCGGTGCCAGGCACTCTCACGGTGGTCATGGTGACGAGCCAGTTCCTCTTTGGAGGCTGCAGGGCGTGAGCTGGTTTTGTCCCCTGGTCTCTTAAATGTCATCGAGAGACATTTGAACCTGTCCTGCGCCTCGGGCTTGTTAGGAGACAGAACCTCTCTCTGGCTCAGAACGTCTTCTCTCTCGTCTCTTTTTGAGTCCCCGTGTCCCCATGGTCCCTGTGGCCAGCCTTTGGGTGTCTCTATTTGAGAGAAGGACAAAGCAGGCCACCGCACAGGGGCCCCGGGGTTCTGCCTTCAAGGACATGGGGACTGGGCTCAGGGACCTCCCCCAGGGGCCTGGTGCAGGAGACAGAGGTGGGGACAGTCCGGTCACGGGGGCTGCTCAGACCCAGTGGGCAGGCAGGGCGTGGCTGATAGGACAGGGGGGTCTCCAGGACGCCTGGACAGGCTCTGTCCCCAGGGCTCAGCCTTCTAAGTCCCCAGAGGTGGGGCCACTGAGCGGACCCGCTACCCCTTCAGCCCCGAGCCTCTGTGGGAAGTGGCTCCCTCGTGGTCACTGAGAGGCTTGTGGGGATGATGTCACCTGTCCCCCGGAGGCAGATGTCGTCCTGGCGGCCCCCACGGCTTGCTGGGTGACCTTTGGCGCGCAC